AATTTAAAGTCCATTAGAGTCAACCTTGAAGGCACTTTTCAATGATGCTAGAGATACATGACATGTATTTGTAACCGTAACAAAATGAACGCAACAAAACAACAACAATTACAAAAATAGAAATCCCAATCCAGGGGGAAAAGGAGAGTAAATCACTATAAAACAAGTGTACCGAATTCATGAAACATACCAACAAACTCAAAATCATACACCCATAAGATTATGCAAGAAACAAAGACAGTTAAAATAAAATTAGCCAATGCAATTGAAACCGCTAAACTCTATCTAATCCATTTGGCATTTAGAACTGGAAATTCAATGGAGTGGAAAATTTTTACTCAATGCAAAGCAAAGAAAATCTGAGAGAGAAAAGAGATTGGACCTTGAAAGCATATCTAGAGAGAGAGGGGCCTGGCAATCATATTACAAACCCAGCTACCGACCGTTTCTACATCTGTCAGTGGCAGGAAGGGATGTATTGTGTGTGGTTACCGCCATTTGCGGAAACCAACCATCATCCATTCATAACATTACACAATATTACAAAAATTAACCATGTGGCTTTTTTTAGTAATTAAAAGCTCCTTTCATTCATTTTATTAAACTCCGTTCATTAGTTACCTGAATGTATAGCAGTTCACCTCTCCCCTGATCTTCATCATATGGCTCGACGTTCAACTCAAACACCCCTGATAAAACTATAAAGAAATCAATATGAAAACATCTTTATGAATCACAGATTGCACTAACTAAACCTCAAAGAGACATGAAAGAGATTTAACAATAAGAATAAAATGTAGGACAAAGAAACAAGCCTTGTTTCAGAAGTTCCACAGCAGCATTGGTGTTTGGAATTTGGACGATGAGCTGACGAAACAAGAGGTTGGGACAAATAAATTAACGAATATATTCAGTCAGAAATATAAATACATACATATATATGGAGGTCATCAAACTTTTAAAATCAGGAATATCGACTACGTTATGAGTACTCCCCTGAAATAGCCCAATCAGAGGATTGGTTGACGAACCAAAAACATCGAGCTTCCACCCCCACTGTAAAGGCTTAACATGTAATCAAAACCCTAATATTCGAATTAATTATGAATGCCAGAAGAGTAGCACAATCAAGTATACCAGCTACAAGTATCAAAGGTGAAATCAGAGACACCAAGTGCGTGGGGTGGTGGGGTGCGTACGGTTGGAAGTGAGGGCAATTGGGGGATAGAGAGGTTGGGTTTGGATTTGATGGGAGAGAAAGTTGTGGCGGTGGTGGTGATGGTTGTGGGGGTGGAGGATGGAGTGGCAGGTGATCAGAGAGACGGAGGATGATGGCGGAGCTCAGAGGAGGGGCAGGACAAGTGTTTTCTTTCGTTTGGCTGGTCACTCGTGGTGGCGGGAACATATGGACAAGAGGGAGAAAACTAGGGTCGTTTAGAAACTGCAACAATATTTTAGACATAATTGTAAAAAAATATATAAAACAAAATATTTCGAAATCAAGTATACAGTTGAGATACAAAGACGTAAATACTTATTTTATAAAATTTTCTTTTCTAAAAACTTTAACAAGATATTTATTAAACGCTGAAATTTATGGTCATTTAATTTAAAATTTCTTATTTTTAATGTACCTTGATTCATGTGTATTTTTTTTTAGAAAATGATTTTATTTTCAAATTATATTTATATATTAAATATATACTACTAGTAGTTTTATTGGAGAATTTTAATATTTTGTTTATTTTAAAATATATCACTTGTTTGAATTTTAAAATTTGTTACTATCCGAACTCTATAATAATATAACAAAAATAATGTATCAAATTCNAACAAAAACAATGTATCAAATACACTGTAATAAAGACAGTGTAACAATACATTATAACAAAAATAGTGTTAAGTAATTTTGTACATGTGGTAACAAATTCAAAACGGAGATAAACTGTTTTGAATGAAATTATACGAAAATATATGTTTGATAAAATGTAATAGTATAATAATTTGTGTAAATGACTTATTACACTGTTATTGTTATACTGTTCGAATATTAATATAATTTAAAAATAAAACCACTTTTCAAAAAAAAAAAACATGAATCAAGGTGTATTAAATATAATTTGAAAAATAAAACTACTTCCAAAAAAAATTTGCATGAATCAAGGGAGGATATACAAATATAGAATATTAAAATTCTCCTATAAAACTATGAGATGTTTCATACACCACTTTTCCAAAAAAAATACACATTGATCAATGGAGGACAAAAATGTCACAAAAAAATCAGTAAAATTCAAATAATGTACTTAGATACAAATAAGTATAAAAAATAAAGACTTAATTATCCAACATTTTTTTATTTGTACTTTTTTACAATTAAGTCTAATTTAATATATCCCCTTCCAAGAAGAAACATAACGGATGGCTTGTCTGACAGAAAGGAGGGAAAAAAAAAAAGAGAAACGATGCGGAAGAGATGGCTTCTCTGACTATGAGGTGACTAATAGGAGTAAATATTGAATGCAAAGGTGATCATTTGATGATATAGTATTACCAATCAATAATAAAACTTCAAATGAGAAAAGTGAACCTCACTTGGATTTACATGGCAGGAGGTGGGAAGTTATTTGTTTACATGACAGTTTTGGTTATTGATTTGTATGGAATTCATGTGCTTTTTTGTTTTAGTATTATTAATTGGTAATATCACATCACCTTGTCACATAATATCACCGTTGTAATGAATATGTTCTCGACTGATAGGTCAGATTTTTGAAAAAAATTGTAGGTGAAAAGTGATGAATTTGAAGAAAAATGAAAGGAATATTGGTGATCGTCGAATGAATTAATTTGAGACCGTAAAATAGACTTGTTTCATTAGAACTATTGGATTAGAACCAATTCTCAATATTTGATGGGACCCACAATCAATTCAAATATCCTAGTGAATTAAGTCAATAAATTAGGTCTGTGAATTAAGTCTCAATAGCATTACTCTATGTTAAAAGTTTTCTATGCATGTAACTAATTTTCAAAATTTAAAGACTTTTCTCCGCAGATAAGTGAATTTTTAAGACAGAATCACAAAAAGTCTTTCAATTAGTCCTTACTGATTTTTCCTCGGGTTTGAAATTTCCACCGGGAGTTCATTCACTACTATAAATAGAGTTAGCTCCAAACACATAAGGTGTCCCACTGCAAATTAAAAAATTCAATATTTAGTACTAAAATTTTAGCATTCAATTTTTAATTTTATCAAACACCACCTTAAAACTTGCTCTGACCAGGACTCCACCTTTTTCTTCATCCATGGAACGTATGAATTTCTTAGAATGTAAATAAACCAAAAGAGGGAATGAATAAATAGAAATAGGAATTATAGTACCAAGAGAAGAAAGAAGAAGGGTAAATGAACCCATGTGGGTCAAACAATTACATATTTGAGCAATTTTTTAAGAGTATTTCTATTTAAATTTAATAATTTGACTTAATTTATTAACTTAATGATGTGGTTTCATTATAACCATTGAATCAATACAAAGGTCTAATGTTTAATGGGCTCACAATCAATTCAAAAACCATAATAAATTAAATCAGCAAATTAAGTAAATAAATTAAGGAAAATTTGGAAGCCGGTACAAAATTTTGGACTTAATTGAGTTAAATTACATTAAGGAAACTTATTTGGGCCTAAGTACAATTTTTTTTTTAAAAAAAAAAGNATTCAAGGTGCCCAACCTTGTCAGGCTTGTTACTTCTTTAGGCATCTCTCCAGATATATTATTTCTCGAAATATCGAGGCTATTCACAAGGTAAAGTATAGAGAAATATTGAAGCATTCTTCCCTTGGCCATGACTTGCAATCGCCCCTCATACCTCACAGTTTCGGGTGTAACCTCAGTTTTGAAGCCAGTCAAGTTCCCTATACAGGGAGGAACTAATCCTGTCAGCTTATTTTGTGAAAGGTCCAATATGTGAAGGGCAGAGAGATAACATATNTTCTCTCTCTCTCTCTTACTCTCTCTCCTCCTATTTTCACTCACCATTACTCTTTCTCTCCTTATTCACTCTCTCAATCTCTTTCTCTTATATCAACTTTATAACAACACAATTATACCAATTAATTACATTAATTAGTTACATTACTCTATAATACATCAAACAGTTACTCATGTGTTCTAATAAACCAAACAGTTACATTAAACAATTACACAAAATTATAATACCAACACAATTTGTTAAACCAAATAGTTATATCATTTAATATCACGATATGACTACATCAATTATATACACCAAATTTGATTTATCATTACACAAAAGACTTTACAATTATACCAAATTTGGAGTATATAATTGGTATAACTACATCATGATATTAAATAGTGCAACTATTTAGTTTATGTAAATAACTGAATGACAAATTGGATTTGTGTCATAATTTTGTGCAATTGTTTGGTGTAACTGTTTCGTTTATTAGAATATATAAATAATTGTTTGGTGTATTATGAGACAATTGTAACTGGTTTATGTAACTGATTAGTGTAATTGTGTTATCGTAACTTGTAACGTCAATATAAATAGAGAGAGAGAAAAAAAAATAGAGGAGAGAGATATTAAAAAATTAAATCAAATCTTTGCATATTTGAAAATAAAATAAATTATAGAGATAGATAGAGAAAATAAGAGAGAGAAAGGAAGAGTAACAGAGAGAGATGGAGAAAAAAATAGAGGAGAGATAATGAGAGAGAGATGGAGAGAAAATAGGAAAAAGAAAGAGACGGAGAGAATAAAAATTATATATAATTTAAGGAAGCGTAACTAAGTAAAAAAATTCAAATGTCATTTGAATTTTGTATCTAATAACAAGATGTTTTATATATATATATATATATATAGAGAGAGAGAGAGAGAGAGAGAGAGAGGCAGCTATTACTGGGCAAGAAACTTCTAACTCTGGATATGGCCATCAATGTGGAACAATCATGAATCAACCACGTATTAATTAGTATGCAATTTTTGGATGATGGTACAAGACTACTCTTTCTTTTATCTTCCCCTTAGTTTATATTGTGGTTAATACGAAACATTACAATAATATAGTTGAAAACCTCATAGTATTTAACAGTATGCATGATACAATTCTAAACATTGTTCTTATTGTATCTAGGTTTATTTATGGACTACATCTCATGCAATATGTTAAAAGTTTTCTATGTATGTAATTAATATTCAAGATCCAAAGACTTTCCTCTGCAGATAAGTGAGTTTTAAATAGAGCACTTCAAAAAGCCTATCTTTTACTCCTTCAAGAAAATGGAAATAAGCGCCTCTCCATCGCTGCTTTATTATCAAAGTGCCACAAACTCCCCAAAATCCTAGGAAGAATCCCGATCCTATGCAAATTGAGAACAATATCTTTTCAAGTGCATCATCTGTTTCTCCTATACTCTCCCCAGCTGGAGCTTGAGGCGGGTCACTGCTAATGCACGCGATAGTTAGCGGAAACCCACAAAGTGCAACATTACCCACATAAATTGATGATGGATCTTCGAGGACTAGGAGCTGATTGCCTGTTGGAATTTTACCAGACAAATTGTTATATGACAGGTTCAAGTGATTCAGAAAAGTCATAGAAGCCATGGTTGGTGGAATAGACCCTGAAAAGTTGTTCATTGAGAGGTCCAGAGTTTCTAACCATTCCAAGCTTCCGATATTTGCAGGTATGTTCCCTGTCATATGATTCATGGACAAATTCAAGGTGCCCAACCTTGTCAGGCTTGTTACTTCTTTAGGCATCTCTCCAGATAAATTATTTCTCGAAATATCGAGGCTATTCACAAGGTAAAGTGTAGAGAAATATTGAAGCATTCTTCCCTTGGCCATGACTTGCAATCGCCCCTCATACCTCACAGTTTCAGGTGTAACCTCAGTTTTGAAGCCAGTCAAGTTCCCTATACAGGGAGGAACTAATCCTGTCAGCTTATTCTGTGAAAGGTCCAATATGTGAAGGGCAGAGAGATAACATATACTTGGAGGTATGTTTCCAGCAAAGGAATTGTTCCGAACACGGAGAATTAATAACGATGTCATGTTTTCTCCTATCCAAGCTGGAAGCCTTCCAGATATTTGATTGTCTCCAACATCAAGGCTGATCATCTCAGTGCAGTTTTTCAAGCCAGAAGGGAGTTCCCCTGAAAGATTGTTGCTAGAAAGTATTAAGAATCTGACGGATCTTAGAGAAGCAATTGAACTTGGAATCGTACCAGAAAGGCTATTGTTTGACATATCCACAATGTACAACAATGGCACATTGTTCCAAACATGTGGAATTTCTCCAGAAAGAAGATTATTCGAGATGACCAGAGTTGTCAAACCATTCAGATTACCTATGGACAAGGGAATGCTACCGTTTAGAGAGTTCCAAGAGATATCCAAGTCTGTCAGATTAGGCATTAATTCACCAATGTCAGGAGGAATTGGTCCAGAAAACAAGTTATCCCTTAGATATAGGGTACTCACATTAGATGACCAGAGAGGGAGAGGACCCTCAAAGAGGTTCGAGCTCAGATCGACATTGGAGGAGTCACTGAATTGTAATGGGTTGGGTACAGTGCCCCTTAATTGATTGTATGCAACGTCCAGTTCGTCGAGTTGCAAACCAAACTTCAGGAACCAGTCTGGTATGGTGTCTGAAATCCTTGCATTGTTGAGTACCACAGTGATCAGCTTATTTTGATTTCTGAGCCATGGAGGAAATCTGGGGCCCAATTGGCACGATCGAATTCTAATGTATATGAGTTTGAAAGGAGGAATCCAATCAGAATCGATGTTGAAAAACAAGGAAATATTTGGAGATTCTTTATAGAGTGATATCTCCTTTAAGCTCGAGAGATTCAAGAGATGAGCTTCTGTTATGACACCTTCCCATGAATTCTCAGAGATGTCCAACACAACCAAAGATGACAGTTGACCAAGCCTTGGAGGGATGTTTCCACTCATTTGGTTGTTTGAAAGGTACAATTCCTCCAAAGATGATAAGTTCCCTACCGTTTCTGGAATGGAACCGCTGAACAAGTTTTGCCGGAGTACAACATATCGCAAGTTTATAAGGTGGCCCATTGAATCGGGGAGACTGCCTGTCAATTCGTTGGACCCCAAATCCAACATCTCTAAGCTGTTATTTTTGCATCCAGATAATCCATTGATAACTTCAGATATTTCACCGGTAATCTTGTTAGTGGAAAGGTCCAGATTCCACAAGTTGCAGAGATTTTGCAATCCTCTCGATAACCGACCTTCAATGCTATTCTCAGATAGATCAAGGTTTTCAAGGGAAGTTAACTTGGAAAATGCATCAGGAAGTCCACCATGGATATTGTTGGAATTGAGATTAAGATATGCAAGGCTAGTGAGATTGAACAGCCAGTAAGGTATTGTGGAGTCGAAACCGTTGTTGGAGAGGTCAAGGACCAAAAGGGATGTAAGATTAACAAGTGGAAGAGAGATAGGAAGGTTGGATAGCTGACACAGGGGCAAATGCAACTCCACAAGAGAAGGAAACATATTCATAGTTGAAAGCCAAGAAGATGCAACCTTGCTAAGGTCTACACTTGCCAAATTAAGGTACTTCAAGGACTTAAAATTCGACAACCATTGCAAGTTATTCACCTTCAATCCGTCAACAGAAGACTCGAGATCAAGATAACGCAAAGTCGAAAGATTTCCGAGATTTGGAGGGATCGTGCCACCGAAGGATGCACTTGAAAGATTGAGATACCTAAGTTTTGTCAGGGACCCGAGGAACTCCGGAATTCGGATTCCTCCAAAATTATTCATGCTGAGGTCCAAGTAGTTCAAATACTTTAAATTGAGTAAAGAAGGATTGATCTCGCCTCCCAATTCGTGAGTTGTTTGATCAATATCATAGCTGTTTGGAAATGGGTTACGGAGTTTAAGCTTGATAACATATCCAGTTCGGTTGTTGCAGCTCACTCCTCCCCATTTACAGCAATCATCTCCAACCCAAGAAGAGAGTCGGCCTGAAGGATCTGTGAGACCTTCTTTGAACTTGAGAAGTGCTCTCTTCTCAATCTCCTTGCAACCCACTTGAAGATCACCGTTGCAGGAGCCAAGCTTAAAGGTCTCAATGAAGAAAAAACCCGAAAAGAGAAGGAAAAATGGAAGTTGAACGGAGACACCTTTTGTGCCCATGTCTGAGTGCAACATAAAGGGGGAAAATATATCAAGCTCTTAGCCTGGTTAGTTAGTTAACGTTCGCTTCATATGATATGCTTTATTTATAAGTGGGGATGAGGGCCTAGGCTGACGAAGACTACAAGGAGAATATGTAGCCTTCCTGCAAGCCTAAGTGTGAGCTTTGGGACTCATTGAGGAATGGGAGGTGGGAAATATTGCTGGTGAAATAGACAATTCAAAATTAGCAGTATTTACAGGTCACAATGGTCCTCCCCACCAATCACTTCAACGACTTGACTTGTTGACTACAAGTCAATTGAGCTACACTATTTTATACACTTGCAGCCAAGAGACTTGTATCGATGACACCATTTCTAATTTGTGGCCTTCATTCATTGATGTCGTTTAATTAGCTATGGCCTCGTTCAATCTAGAAATCAACTACTAATTCAATCGTAACAGCTATTAATTAGATGTAAATAATATTAATTAATTTTGTTCTGATTCATGTGTACGATAACAATCAATAAACCAGAAAAATAAAAGAACACAAAAATTTACATGATTTGACAATTTGCCTACATTTACGATTTTAGAGCAACTGTCTTGTTTTGCTCACCTCTCCGACAACTGACCTATTATCATCTTGGACTTGGTGTAACTCTTCATACTCTAAATATGAGTCACCCATCCCAACAGATTTAAATAAAGTTGCTTAAAACACATACCAACAGGTTTAGATAAAGTTGCTTCAAATACATGTGAAAGGAGATTGCTATTTTCTGAGGGGATAAAGAAAACCTCATTTACTAATACGGGACGACTTGTTCCAACCTTCTTTTTCAATTAGACTTCGTTTCTTTATTGTGTTTTGGTCAAGACATCTGAGTTTTTTCAATCCTTGGAGACCTATGCATACCTAGTCTGACTTTCGAATGTAAACCCCGCAATTCCAATTGGAAAATTACTCCACCTGGAAATTGATCAACATGGTCCACATAATTTTCAACCATATATATATATATATATATATATATTTGTAGATCACTATGAATTATCTGTGTATACCAAAATAATTTTATTTTTTATTTTTTTTGGTTGCAAGTGTTCAATTTTGTGTTGAATACTCCCTCGAATTCAATAGTTGGTCACCATGACTTAAGCTAAATTAGAACATCTTCTTACAAAGACAAGGGTGACAAGCCAAATAGTGAACTCTTAAGACTTTTGGAGGGTCTTGATCTCTTTAGTCTGCCACATTTATTAGTGGGGTTGAGGGATATTAATTGGTGAACTTGGTCGCAGAATTGATGCTGACAAAGACTAAAAAGACTGAAGAACGTTGAGTTTCCACCCAGATTGGAGATGAGTGTAGTCTTGTTGAAGCGTCAAAGTGTGAACTTGTGCACTACCACCACTGGTGGAAAGATAGCAACCGAATAAAGATTATTCGAAATATAAAAGATGATATGTGACAACATTATTGGAACCCACATGTGAAAAGGGCGAAAGCCTTCTTTAAGGATAGATGGGAAAAACAAGACAAGGGTAAACTTCAGTTTGGCTAAGGGAAGAACGACCATAAGACCGACAAACAGACAGACATGTGAAAACAAATTAGACTCCCAAAGATTCTTTACTGGTAAGAAGTATACACTAATCTCATATCTCTCGAGTCAATCTACAAAGGATATAAGAAATGACTGAAAAAACAAAATTAAGACAAAACAGTTAATGACCAATTAGCATTTTTAAAACTAAATTAGGCTCAAAAGTATGACTTGGTATGATATGCTTTACAAAACAATTATGCTTATCCAATTCACCTCCAAAAATAAGAATTTTGATACGATAAAAAACCGATTGTGTGGTCCCACAGACTGAAAAGAAACATAAATATTACCATAAAAGTCACATTGTAATTGATTGATATATCATCTTCTTCTCTATGACTTTATACATGCACTCGAATCCGAAAATCTCAGGATTACCAAACCACTAACCACTGATCTCATAAATATTTACTCCAACCCGATGGCTGCTGAGTCGATGGCTGCTGAGTCGAGTGACTCGGGAACTTAAAATCTCACGCATTTGAGGTTTTGGCATTTTACATATACATTTTGCTATAATTTATTGGAGTCAGGTTTGTTTATCACAATAGACAACAAAACTGACGTTCTGTTTCGTTTTGTTTATCACCCCATAACACGGAGAGGACTCATCTTCTTTCTGTCACTAAAGCTACGGTTTGAACGTAGCCTTGGAAGGCAACACTGGGCGGACCTTACTGATTTCTCCTCAGGTTTGAAATTTCCACTAGGAGTTCTTTCACCACTACAAACAGAGTTAGCTCCAGACACGTAAGGTGTCCCACTGGCGGATTTGGGAGGAAGGGCCAGTTTAGTAGTTGTCTTACCTTCCATCTTTCCGTTTGCATCATTTTCATCTCCTGGAATATCTTGCTCATCAAAATCCCAGTCAGATTGTAGGCTATCTTTAAAGAGTTCAGCTAAGCTCTTTTTGTTTTCTATTGGAGAAGGTTCAGGTTTGGAACCAAGGACTCTTTCCTCAAAAAGGGTTGTGTCGAGTCTTTTTGGAGTTTCGCCGGAGAAACTCTGATGGACCGGAGTACTACCACGAGATGGCGTAAAATCTGCAATAAAGGTGACAGGGAAACCTTACAGAATTTTACATTGTGACAACACAGAAGTCAAAGAACCCTCTCTAATCTTACTAAATGCCGGGCAACATTTTTTGGAAAAAGCACAACCATTACAGGGTGGATGAACCTTGACCAGCAGGCCATCTAACATTTATCAACTAATTCAAATTATTTTTCCACCACTCATTCCAACTCTCCAAGTTCGTCTTAATATTTTTCTTTTGAAATAAATGAGGTAATGTTATAGACCACGGCATAGAAAGATGGACCAAATTGTTCGATAAACCTGAGAGTCAGTAAAATCACAACGAAAATCATTGAAGAAAAAAACTCTCCCACACAAAGTCACAGGCACAAACTGAGAGAGAGAGAGAGAGAGATGTAAACTAGTAGGAAGGACAACAGAACTTAAAAGCATTCTAATGCATCTTACCACCATTCACACTGAGGAAATCATCCTCACAGTCGGATTCTAAACAAGGTTGAGAATCGAAAAAGGTCTCCTCTTTACTACCTGCAAATAAAACTACAAACATATCAGATTTATAATTAGGCACCAGAAAGATACAAAAAGTAGCAGAAATTCAACTGGACTTAGAACAATGATGGATCCACCTCCACTGGCACAAACTCTGGAATCATGACTAACTTTATAATTTTGTCAAATCCCAAACCTGAAAACTCACTCCAGAGGAACAGGCACAGCCCCCCTCCCTCCTCCCCTGTTGATGTTTAGAAGTTTAATATCTGAGGGGAAATATTATGATGGCTAAATTACACCTTTGTAGACTGTCCTAAATGAAGGGACATCCCTTCACTGGTTAGGTTGGTGGGAGCATGGATTCACTGGGCATTGCTTGGGCTAAGTCAAGCTTGGACCGAATTACGTAAAAACTTACTGCCTAGAAAAATGTCTCACAAGAGTATATGGTGAGTAAATCTCATGAAGAGATGGTGAACTTAGCAACTAAGAAAAAGGCGAAAGAACAACTAAACAAAGAAATTCAAGAATTGATGGATCGAGTCAAAGAGCTAGATAAGGGGATTCAACGCTAGAGACTAAGACCAAACTGAAGAACGATACCCCCTACCAATTTTTTTTGGCTAAAAGTAATAAAGAAAATCTCAATTTTACAATTTTGCGCAAGTCTTTTAACACCTTATTTAGTTAGAATGTCCACAATAGTTACCCAATTTTCTTAACTCACATAAAAATAGCTAAAAATAAACCAAAAATTAATTACAATATTTTCTATTTTCAATTGATATTGTCAAAAACATATTGATTTGTATTTATTTTCTTTACAGGTTTTTTATTTATTTTCTTAATTTATTATATTTGTGAATTATAAACATGATTCTTTTAGTTTTTTTTTTTTGGAATTTCATTTTTCTTTCACTTGTATTTTCAAATTTAGGTGATGAGATACTAATTTTTTTTTCATTCTTTGTATAATATTCTCATCTTTTTATTAATTTTTATTTTTTAAAATAAGTCAAACACATTTATGTTAGGGGACCTAGGTAAAATTTGATCTCATAATAATACTCTTTCAGTACATCATCACTTTTATTCTGATATCTGATGGCATGGGTGGTATATGAACTAGAAAGGATTGAATGATACTTCTAGAAAAGCAAAAGTGTGTTTCTGTGTTTAGAGACCTAATTACTACTGAGTGTCACCATAACCTACCCCTAAAATGCAATAAATTCTTGAAGCCTAAATAGCTAAGATTGCTTAATAGTTTGCATTTTTAATAGGGTTATCGGTTTTTCGTCTCTCTCCCTTTCATTGTATTTACAGATAACTCTAGAATAGTTGTGATTGTCAAGTTCAACAATGTGGTCCCTGCATATTCCAGCATAGCAAATATAATATGATCCTCAAGGGCTGTTACCATATACCCCAGCATGGACTGTCCACAATTCAGAGATAAGCACTGGTCCCTCAGAGGGACATAATTGCAGAAGGTTTGGACTTTACTCGCAAAATAATTAATTATATTAAGCAAAGAAAGACAGTGGTAGGGGGAATTGGTTTTCATCCAATCTATCTCCCCTGGGCAGATAAAGATACAATATCATACTAAAATTTAGGCACAGCTTTCATATGACATCTAATTCACCTCTGAAAGTCTTCTTTTTTTTATTTTTTTTGGCCAAGTTTGCCAAACCCCATCTGGGGAAGCCATAAGCCACAATTTAAGAAAATGACACGAAAGCTACTTTTGCTTTTTTACCTTTATAATTAAAGAAGGAGACCAAGATTTAATCTACAATTCATTTCATCAAAGGCAAACTCAGGAATGTGATTATGGAAACATACATCAATCTCCCTTGGGCACTCAGACTCCTGGCGGGTATCCAACTCATACACTCGCTGTTGGAGCTTACTATTATGTTTTTCAATTATACAACAGCATGGAAACAAACATCAACCTTATCCCATCCTCTAATGGGTGGGGGACTAGGGGAGTATCCAGCTCCTTAACTGGGTATTTGAGCTCACTATTGATAAGTTCTTCAAATCTATAGCCAAAATCGCCAACAATACTGTATGTTTTATTCTTTGCGTGTATTTTTTAATGACAAGAAATAATGACACTCATCTTTAGCAACATATCATAATTTTAGGTCCACAACAGCTGTTAGGTTCTGAGCTATGTGTTTAGATGGTCCCATAAATAAATAATTTCCATATAGCAGAAATTGTTTGTTTGTTAGTTTTACAAGTCCTTCACTAGTCAATTTTAAAAGGGACTCAAAAAGAACGTGAAAACAAGTTTTCATACACGGGAAAACTTAAAAAGGATTCAAACTGTAATTTTCCAATTCACAACCTGTATCTTATGCTAATCTGAAAAGTTCAGATTTCCATCTCAACCATGCCCATCCCTGACATACTTAACAGTAATTAATCAAGACTCCTGACGGATCAATCATCTGACATGAGCCTAAACAATAACATAGACATTTATTGTTTCAGTATCTGAACTATTCCAGAAGTTGAAAATTTTCGGGGCATTAGAGACATATGTCTACCATCAAGCCGCTTTCACAATGATGCTAGAGATTCATGGCAAGTTTTTGTAACAGTACCAATAGTGAAAACAACAGAATAACAAAAATCACATATAAAGATCAAAATCCCAATCCAAGGGGGATATGAGGAGTCAATCACTATAAACCAAGTGAATCGAATTCATCAAGCATATCATCAAGCAACATGAACAACTTAAAAAACACACAGCCATTAGCTTATGCACAAACAAAGACAATTAAAATAAATTAATCAATGCAACTCAAAAGATAAAATATATATGTAACCCATTTGGAATTTAGGACTAAAAACTCAAACAGATAAACCAATGAATCGAAGTATCAAATCCAATATATCTCTGGCAGGCAGATTGAAAGAATAGAATCATACCAAATTCGCGAATATTTGTCATTAAGCGTGGCGGCGACCACTGAGATTTGAGAGCAACCTCGGCGATCCGATGGTTGTCGCCAGCGACCACCGGTTTGTCTGGTGATGGAATCACAAACTTGTCAGTCTTAGACCCAAAAGACAAACGGAGCTTCATGGCTGATTCTGAGTCTCTGTGAACTGAAACACAAGAACCCATTTCTTAATTCTCACCCCTTATCACCCACAAAAACCAGGAATCTCTTTGTCTTCCACAAGGCTTCTCTTGTAGAGAGAGTAAAATAGTAGAAGAAGAAGAAGAGGAGGAGGAGGAGGGTCTGTTTCTTGGCGTTTTGCTCAAGGAGTGGAAAATTCTGACTCAATCCAACGCAAAGCAAAGCAAATCTAAGAGATTGGACCTTGAAAGCGTACTACAGAGAGTAGGGCCTCGTGAAGTAAGCTCATTATAGTTGGGTTTGTTACTCTGTTTTGTTTTGTCTTGTCTTGCAGTAGCAAAGTTTTTCTGAATGTGAAAAGGAACGAACGGAAAAGCTGTCTTTAAAAAGGGCTCGTTTCGTTCACCTTCTCGGGGTTTTGTTTGGTTGCCTGGAAAGTTAATTTACCGAGTGATCCAAAATTTCGTAGGTGAATAACCTTGTTTGGTTGTAAGCCTGTGATGTTCACGTGGGTCGCAAGGTCCACATCTTGTATTCTGGCCGGACAATTACACTTTGGCCCACTTAATTCGGATTCAATTTTATTTTGTCTCTTAAATTATTAAATTTTTTCACATTTTCCCCTCAGCTATATGAATGATTTCACACTACCCCCAACCGCAAACGTCCATAATCTTTTGGACAGAATTTGTCGCAAAGTAAACAAAATATATAGTTCGGAGGTTAAATGAAATACCTTTTGGTCAAATATATAGTAAGTGTTAATAATTAGGAAATCATAAAATTAATAACATAGTTGAAAAATATAATAATTGAAGGATAATATAAAAAAAAAGATAATAACTAAGGGATCAAAATAAATTTTTTCCCGAAATAGTATAACTTATCATTCACCATGTATTGTATGAAAGTGAGTCTCTCACTTGTTAATGGTGAATAATATATTTAAAAGAGAATTGAAGATAGAATATAGTCGGAGGAAGCAGACGTGAGGTTAAATGGAGTTGGCCAGAAATTGACAGGAACCCACTGCTTAGTTAACTTTCTAACATCTGATGAAGAGGCTTGTTGAATCCCAACTACTTTAGATATAAATTTCTTAACACATTAAACATCATTCATTATATGTGGGGTCCCCTAAATTATTTACCTTCCCTCTTTAATGTGATGTTGAAGGAGAACAAGCTCGGATTTGACAAGGATTCTGATCTCATCCATATCCGGTGTAGTGTTTTTAATTATTAATCCAAATTTTTTCTTCATCGGGATATTGGAGATTACGTTATTAATTAGTTACGTACAGCCTCGCTAACTCTGAAAAAAAGACAAAAAAAAAAAAAAAGAATCAACGACAGAAAAGAAATATATTCCCATTAAAGTCACCCTTGTGGATGGCTCCATACATGATAGACAGTATCATGAGCTCAAATCCTGAGTTGAGTAACTCAAGAACTCAATCTCATGCATTCTAAGATTATGCCATTTTTACATATACACTTTTACAACTACTTATTAGAGTCAACTTTATTGATCACCAACATTTCACTAAAAACTGTTTGCATGGTAAAGATGCGTACATTTAATTCTCGTACACCGAGTACGCCTTTTTTTTTTTTTTTGTTTATTTCACTAAAAGCCGCTGATCGGACGCAACCTTGGGAGGCAAGACTGCATGAACTTCACTGGTTTCTTCTTTTGTTTGAAATACCCATTAGTAGTTCTTTCACTAAGACAAACAGAGTAAGCTCCAGAGACAAAAGGTGATCCACTGGCGAATTTGGGAGGCAGCTGGTCAATTGTAGTTGTTGCCTTACCTTCCATTTCTCCGTTTGCATCATTTTCAGTTTCAGGAATATTTTGCCCGTAAACAACACGATCACCTCGTAGGATATCATCAAAGAGTTCAGCTAGGTTCTTTATCTTTTCTGTTGGAAATGGTTCAGGTTTGGAACCATTGACATTTTCGTCAAGAAGGGCTCCATTGACTCGTTCTGGAGTTTCCATGGAGAAGCTCTCATGGCCTGGAGTATTGCCACAAGATGGCGTAAAATCTGCATCAAACGTACCAGGGAGCAAATTTATACAGTGACAGCAAAGAAGTAAAAGAAAATAAACAAGAAACATTTTGCATTACACTTCCTTTTACATCCCTCATTGTTCTTATTCCACATGGGGCAACATTTTTGCTAAAAGCACTACGACCACAGGATGAAACTTCACTGGCAGGTGATCTACCATTTATCACAGTATTTTTCCAACACTCCAACTCTCCAAGTTCCAAATCTTACAATTTCTTATTTTGAAACAAATGTGGTATTTTTCAGACTACAGCATAGTGAGATGGACTTAATTGTTTAAAAAATCTGGCAGGCAGTCCATCACAGGGTCCATCATTGAAGAAAAAAATCTCTCATGTCCTCTCACACACAAACTAGAGAGAGAGAGAGAGAGAGAGAGAGAGAGAGAGATGTAAAATTGTAGGGCAAAAGTTTTTAAGTATCCCAATGTGTCTTACCGCCTTTAACACTGAAGAATTCATCTTCACAGTCAGACTCCATCAACACTGAAGAATCAAAAAACTTCTCTTTACGACCTACAAATAAAACAGTCAATATAATCGGATTTAGGCATCAGAAAGATGAAAAAGTAGTTTGACAACTATGCTACTGGACTTAGAAGGATGATGGCTCCAACTCCACTGGCACAAGCTCTGCAATCATCACGAATGCCTGAAACATGTCAGATCCCAATCCTGAAAACTCACTCTGGAGGAAACAGGCACATGACACATGGAAGCAGTGTCTCGCCGGAGTCACCCAAACCCATCTCCTCCCTCCTTCCCCATCCAGTTTACACCAAGATAAAATCCACATAATATTACGTAAACTTGGACAAATTTGTTAATGTGCATATGTTTTTGTCCTATCTAAGCTTGTGATTTAGTTAATTCCCCAAGCACACAAGGAGATAGCCAAATATCCAAGAGGATAATATTCTTAATAATATTTTTTATTAAAATAATATTCCTATTTCCTAAGTTACTTCTTCCTAGTGTAAGACAACGTATTATACGCCACTCAAAGCATCAGCAACCATGTAACAAAGGAACACAACAAGACAGTTCCATGAAAAACTAAATGGTAAATTTCAATGCAGAGATAATCACTGGCCCCCAGAGGGGCATAATTTCTGAAGGATTGGACTTCACTTGTAAATTAGATACTTATATTAAATAAACAAAGGGAGTCGTTAGGGAAGTTGGCTTCTATCTGCTCTATACCACTTACATAGATCAAAAAACATGATATAGTCCAAAATATTGGCAAAGCATTCATCTGAGCAATTCACATCCAAATGTTTTTTCGCAGGTGAAGTTTTCAAAATCCATCTGGGGAAGCCATAAGTCAGTTTTTCACCACCCTTACTCCCACTTCAGAAGACCAAACAAAAACTACTTTTTTTTCAGCTGTGTGCTTATGGAAACAAACATCAACTTTCCCCAGTCCCTCAGTGGGCTGGGGGGGACTGGGGGAGTATTCAGCTCATACACACTGGCTGTTTGAGTTCACCATTCTAGTTTTCAATTTCCTAGCAGCATGGAACCAGACATCAACCTCCTCCCATCCTCCGATAAGGTGAGGGAAAGGGGAGTATCCAGCTTGTAAACGGTGTGTTTGAGCTCACAATTGACAAGTCCGACAAATTTACAGCAAATATCAATGGCAGTTAGTTTCCGGTCCATCTGTTTAGATGGTCCCATAAATAAAGAACTTCCATATAGCATAACTTGTTTGACTGTCAATTTTAAAAGTCATTCACTAGTCAACTTTAAAATATAATCAGCTGAAAACTAAAATTTTCATACAGAAAACTAAAAAGCGACCGAAAGCAATGAAAAAAGGAACAAGATACCAAAAATTACAAGGATAAAAATCCCAATCCATGGGGGGAAATGAGGAGCAAATAACTATAAAACCAAATAAATCGAATTCATGAAGAATACCAACAAGCAACATCAATCACCTAAAAAACACACCTATTACATTATGCACATACAAAGACAGTCAAAATAAAACTAGACAAAGAGAAATTGAAATATATATATATATTTAGAGTAGCGCGATCATAGAAACTATGCACCGTAGTCTCTAGTAGATACCTTTTACGTATACGATCACGATCTAATGGTCACCAAATAAAGATACTTAAAATTAATTGTCAATACCTACCTAATTTAGTTCTTAACTAAATAGGAAAGGTCTATATAACTTATTAATTGCTTTCTAGTCCTATAAGGAAAACTCTTAAGGTTAATAAAAAAAATTCTTTTTTTATTAACTAGTATTGAATGAATCGAACCTAATGACCCAAATTCTTTTTTCAATTTGATCATATAAAAATTCCACTTGATTTTACTTTTTCAAATGTTTTTTTTTTGTATTTAATTTGCAGCTGGAACAAATAAATTTCTATTGATGACATAGGCGGTAATAAAAGAATGATGGCAATGGAGATGAGGTTTCACAATATTTTTCTTATGTTGGGTTTAAAAATAAAAGAATGATGACAATGATTTCTAAAATCTAATAAGCATTCCTAATTTGGTTGATTAGAAAGCTAAGAGAGAAAAATATTAACGAATCTTCCTCAATAATTGTAAAATTGTGGTATGAAGAGGACAAACTAGTATGATAATGACCCATAAAAAAAAAGGACAAACTGATGATAATTTGATCCAAAAAATTTGAAAGACCTACCCAACAATGGTGTACCTCAATTAAACCCATATAGTGGGTCAACCCATCGAACATATGTCAAAATGTCAAAATATTTACTTATATTGAATTTCAAAAAATTAAATAAAGCTTTCCTTATAGGACTAGATTACCGTTAATAAGTCATAGACATTTCCTATTTAGTTAAAAATTAAATTAGATAGGTCTTGATAATTAATTTTAAACATCTTTATTTGATGACCATTCGATCATGATCTAACGGTATACGTAAAAGATACTACTAGAGACTATAATGCAGAGCTTCTATCATCGTATTACTCTCTATACATATAACCCATTTGGAAGCTTGCTACTGGTTTTAGATAGGCATTTTATTTTCTTTTTAAATGTAAGTTGCATACATTTTTTGCTTTAATAGTTTCAATTTTTTGAAATGATGATGTAACTTAGATTGTGTAGGTCAATTAAAAGAGCCTCACAAACGTGTTCATAGGGGCGAGTAGGATTGGGCTTAGATGGAAGAAATTCGAATTAATCACCAAAATACAACATTTTTTAAACATAATTATCAAAATACGGCACTTTTGAACTTATTTATCAAACTACGACATTTTTTAAAAGCGGATTCAACAATTCTGATTTTATTAAAAAGCGGATTCAATAACTCCGCTTTTTGATCCCTTTTTTTAAAAAAAAATAAAATTGGACAGTCATGAAAGCGTTTCTATGCTTTTTTCTGAAAGTGTGTTTATTAAACACGCTTTTCACACAAAGTTGGACTGTTAAAATCACTACAGGTCTTTCACAGTTATTTCTACTTGTGCTTCTTCCTCTGTACTTTGTTCTTCTCTCTTTTCAGTTCTTGAAGATGCCTAGGGCCAACTCGAGACCCTATGAGCGTATTAGAAGAGCTTGGCACAGTGATAGACACCAAAGAACATCAAAAGCCATCTCTTTCAGCAAAACCCATTTCTAATGGTGTTTTGATGTATCTTGAAGATGACTTCTTGTTCTCTCAATACCCATTAGAAATTAAAACGGTTTTTTAAAATTTTTTCTACGTGAATACCCATTTGTAAGTGGACACATTTTTTGTGTTCCTCAATCTTCCCTTCGTCTTTGTCTAACTTACCTTCTATTTTTTTCGTCTTGAAAACCCAGAATTATTCAGGACTCAAAGATCACCCAGGTTCATCCGCAAATACAAATTTTAGTGCTTCAATTAAGCGATGTAAACCCAGAGATCCCTTCGCAACATGGGAATTGTCATGGCCAGAGAAGCTTACTGTCGGTACTGTTCACAGAGAGAAGGCGTACAAAGAGAAGAAGAAAAAGTGCAGGGCAACACCTTTTTTCTGTTAGTGAATTGTATATAAACCGTGTTAGTGAATTGTATATAAACCGTGATTGATAAATCCACTTTTTACAAAAAAAAAAAAAGTTTTTCTCCTCCCCAACTTTTATATTAAAAGTGGAGTTGTGAATTCGCTTTCTAATAAAAGCGGATCCATTCAAAAAGTACCTAAATAAATTTAAAAATATCATATTTTGGTAATTATATTTAAAAAATACTATATTTTAGTGATTAATTCGAAGAAATTCGGACTGTCTAGTAATAGAGGAGGCAAAGGGTGGGTGGCGAAGATAAATGCACTCTGACAAGATTGTAATGAATGTCCCGCACTGGGTATGCATTTATAACACAGTATTTAAGCAGATCGGACTGCCCAGGGGCTGCCTGCCACTACCCAGCTCTAACACCTGCGCCAACTTACAATTGTCTCGATCGGCGGCGATATTAGTAGCCGCTCAGCCGGGTGTCCCAAAACTACGTCCTCTAAGGATAATTTTTTATTATTTTGATTAATAAAATTGTACCCTCGAGGTTGTACCCCCAAAAAAAAATAGCTAGAACCAAAAACACTAACAGATAAAACCAATAAACCAAAGAATCAAAATCACTATTAAATATTCATCTCTGGTAGATTGAAAGAATAGGAGCATACCAAAGTCACCAAAATTTGTCACTGAGCGTGGCGGTGACCACTGAGATTGTAGACCAAACTCAGTAGCGATCGGAGGGTCGGCATTGATCAGGGGTTTGTCTGGTGATGGAATCACAAGCTCGTCAGTCTTATACTCAAATGACAAACCGAGCTTCATGGCTGATTCTGGGTCTTTGTGAACTGAAACACAAGAACCCATTTATTAACACTCACTCCTTATCACCACAAAACCAGGAATCTCTTTTGTACTCCACAAAACTTCACTTGTAGAGAGAGAGAGAGAGAGAGAGTGGAACTGTGAGAAGAAGAAGAAAAGAGGAATAGGGTCTGTTCTTGGGGTTAGGCTTAAAGGAGTGGAGAATTCTTACTCCATATATAGTAACAAAGCAAATCTGAGAGCGAAAGGAGATTGCGCCTTGAACGCCTACTCCAGAAAGAGTGGGCCCTAGAAAATGATCCATTGAAGTACAGTTTTTACTAGGAGAGTTTGCTGACTGCGAAATGGAGCAAACGAAAAGCTGTCTTAAAGGGGCTTGGTTCCGTTTTTATCTGCTATGTATCGGGACTTTGGCAGGCTGTTCAGCTTCTGTTTGGTTGCCTAGAAACTTAATTTACTCTAAAGGCAAATTTCTCTTGTAGATAACTTTCTGACGGAAAGTTTTGTATGTGAATAACCATGTTCCTTGTTTGGCTGTATGCTGGCATGGCTTCTCTAATGCCCTGAATTTTTTATTGATTACGTTAATTTTTTATTTTTTTTTAAAAAAAATTGCTCTTCCTGAGGTCATTGGACCTCACTTTATGATCCACCTAACAAAAAAAAAGGAGAGTGTTTTGTGACTTTTTTTTATTAAATATTATAAATTTAAATTTATTTATTAAACTATCATTTTTTGGATGAAAGAGTGAAAAAAAACTAAACTATTACTTTTTTAACATGCTCTTAAAGTTTTTTTAATTTTTAAAGCGTGTTTTAGAAACACACTTATAGTGTAAAATCATGTAATAGAAATACATTTTCATAAAGCAAATTGTTGCAATGCCAGGCGAAAATGGAAAGAGATCAGCTCTATACTAAAGGCCTCACTTGGACCCTTTTTCAACACACCAGTCAATTTCTGAAATGTGGTTGGGAGGCTCCAATCCATGAAGTTAGCCAGAAATTTGACAGTAACCACTCTTAACTAACTTTCTAATCTTGGATGAAGATTATAGCCGTTATCATAAACTACTTAGATACAAATATCTAAAGCATGTTGGTCCCATGCATAAATCTCCTTCTACATTGACATGGAAGGAGAAGAGTCTCCCATGCATCCATCTCCAACCTGGTAAATTTAATTATTAACCAAAAGAATTAGGAATGATAATTTTTAATACGACCCATTAATCCTATAAAAAATCGATATAAAGTAAATAGATATGAGTTTAGTTTTAATAATTTCATGTGAATATGACTAAACACATTATTAATCCGTTAAACAAAATTTATATATGATACAAATTCACCGTTCTGGCACAGCGGATCATGTGAAACAGGATAGAATTTGGTGCAAACACATTTGGATTGAGAATACTTGGATAAGTTGTGAATGCATTATTAAAGAATTCTCTGTAGAGAACAAAATAGGTAGGCTGTAGCTTTTACGTGGTAGGCCACCAAACACTAAAAACTTCCAATATCTCTCCATCTTGCGGTTAGAGTCTCTTAATCACTTAGTTTCGTATTTGATTACCCATTTGGTTATAAAGAATAATTGATTGACATCATTGTTAGGTGCACTGGTTCTCTCCCTCATGTATTTCAAATGAGAAAATAAAAAACAATATGCTAATTTGTAATTTAATAATATATATATATATATATAAAACACGCATAGAGAGATGAAGATAAACCCACAAAGTAGAAACCCAAAAAAGGCAGTCATAAGTAGGCCTGATAATTCTAGACACGACTCATAAAATCGATACGAACTCAACACAGATTTAGCGGTTTTTGGTGCAGTCTTAACGGATTTGGGTGATTAATAGATTCACTAGACAGACCCGTAAAATAAACGAATCGGTTTCATGTTTAAGTCATAAACTCGTTTCAACCCATTTAACTCGTTAACAATGGTACTATAATTTTTTTTTAAAAAAGTTAGGTCTCTTAGCTTCTGCCTCATCTCACACCTATCATCTTTCAAATTTAATTAAATTTAATAATCATTTAATGTTTATTTTTTTTGTTGAACTATAATTTATTGTTATAGTAAACAGGTCAAACATATGTAATGCGTGGTGAATTGATGATTTTTCGCGTAAACTCGAAATACTCTAACTTATTCTCTTATATAGCAGGTGATACGCGTGTTGTATCTTAAGAACTATTGACCTAAATCGTAGTCGATAAATTTTGAAAAAATTAAGGGTGATCAACTAGGTTAGACCTGTTATTCACATAAATATAAGTACTCTTAATAGAGCATAGTGGAGTAATAGGATTCATGTGGCCGATGCATTGAATAGAGTTGTACAATTACTTCAAAAGATTTGAAATTTTTTATTCCAAAATTTAGTTATACGAACTTGCAAGATAGGGAAATAGGTTATAGGACTCATCCAGGGAGTGCTGGTGAGAGGCCTCTCTGATGTATAAATAGATATCCAATGACTAAAAATTATACTCTTTATATGGCGCGCGCGCGCCCGTGTATTAATATGTATTAGGTATGAATGATTTAATTGAAATTTTAATAAACATGCTTCCATTTACAAGGAAAAAATCTAATGGAGTATGTGGGCGAGTGATTGAGTTGTTGCTGATAGAGACCTGGGCCTAGGATTCAGCTTGAGTTTGTGTGGACTTGAGTATTTTCATGGGGTACCTCCTTAATTTAAAACCCAACACGTGAATGTTAGATTTTATTAAAAAAAAAAAAAATGGCAATACTAAACAGTCACGCAATATAACTAAATAACTTTAACTAATCACTGAATGAGATGGTTCAGTGGAATTTTGGCCGAACTTTTCACTTTGAGGTTAGAGAATCGAATTTTAGAGTTTATATTAGAATTGAGATTCAGAGGTTGACTACTATATTAACCTAACTAGGTTTGTTTCTGAGAAGAATAATGAATGTGATCAGGGATCTCATAATCCCTCTGATAAAAGTCTATTGGGATGGTTGTTGGATGCTCTTCTTTGCTCCATCTCTTTTTTACATATAAAAAAACAAAAATAAAATAACGCTGACTAAGCAAATCCAGAGACCTCCCTCTTGTTGAAACTCCGGTGGGATGGGTAAGATCAAATTATCTATCCGTTAGTGATTTTGTTTTTTCCATGGAAGAACTCCAGCTTGGGAATATGAGCTATAGATGTAGAAGAGGTGGTAGATGATTACTTGGATATTTAAAACAGAAAATTGAAGCGCGTCAAAAAGTCAAAAAGTGATAGTAGATACAAAATGAGTCAGATTCGATATTGATTGAGATCAATGAGATTTGATCTGGAACGGGCTAACGATGAAGACTCATTACTTTGCTATGAGCTACTTCAATTTTAGATCGAATTCCGTCATTTAGGTCCTCAAAATTCTATTTTTTGTCATTTTATGAAAAGATTTCAAAAATTAATTATAAATTATAGGAGATTCCAAATTCAGGTTCATTAGACTATACACAACATGTGTTTTTGTATTAACTAGGAAAATTGCATATTTTTATTTTTGGTCTTTTTCGTAATTTTAAGAATTTTGTTTCCGTTTTGAAAATGATTAGGGTTCTGGTTATTTCTATTTATATTATGTCTTTATATTATGAGTAGAAGAACTGAATAATATTATATTTTAGAATTTTTTTCTACCTTCTATATGGATTTTGAGTGTTATTTTTAGTTCCATACATAAAAGAATCGTAGTGTTTTTTGTATTCTTTTTTCCGTTGTATCAATGACCTCTCTAAGGACTACTGGTTATAAAAAATGAGAAACTGAAAGATACCAGTGAGACCAATCAACCCAAGGTAAGGGCTGAGATTAGCTCTGGCCTCACCTGGGTTGCAATCCTAACTTTAAAAACGTTAATTTGCAACCAACCGACCAGATTATTATAGACAAGAACATTCTCAGTGTGCTAGCTAGGTTGGTGATAATTAAGTTTACTTTGAAAATTTTCATTAATGACAAAAGTTGTTTGGCTCAAGCTATCCACTCACTGTCTCATCTGCCAAACCACCATTACGACAGAATTTTTTTTTTTTTTGGCATAACATTACGAAATAATGTATAAGGTACCATATTTTTTTGGTGCCTACTAATACTATTAGAAAATTACACTCAAATTCCTTACCTTAAAATTTAAAGGAGTATAATATTTAAACTCTTCAAATTTAAAATATTATACTTAAATCCCTTATTAGTTACGGAACTAATGAAATCTATTAAACGATCAAATTATCCTAATTAAAAATATAAGAAATTTTGTACATTATAGTTTGACCTCTTGTTTGATTTTATTCCAATAGGTAGTATAATTCTATACTAATTATGATTTTTTTAAGAAAAGTAAATTTTTATTTTTGATTTTATTTCAATAAATGTTATAATAAAACATGAATTTTGATTGTAAAATTTAAAATATTTGATATTTTATCTTTCATTAAAGTATGTTGGTCTAACTGTAATATTTTAAACTTGAAGAGTTTAAAATTATATATCTACAAACTTTAGGGAGTCTAGGTGTGATTTATATACTAAATGATATTGACGGTAAGGTCTAAGTATTACGTACATATAAATTTTAGGAGACCTATGTGTAATATTTTAAATATCAAGAAATCTATGTAATTAAGCGATAAATCTTAGAAAATATGAATATAATACTCCCTTTATTTTAAGCAGTTTGGTGGCAAACACGTGATGTCACGTGAGTGCATTACAGTATAACCTCTACTGTCGGATATCTGTCCACTAGTACTTGGATGCCCGAGGTACTCACAGCCCTTTGTTAGTATATAAGTGCTTTGCATCCCAGATGAAAGGGAAGAAGAATTGTATTCTATGTTGTGTGCATCGAGCTTTTCACAGATTCGCAGTCGTGTACTAACTTATACTAATGTGAAGTTGGATATTGATGGGACTCTTCTGAAAAAGTCTATGATGAAGACACGTGTCTTCGGGGGTTTCTAGAACAATGTTGCTCGGGTTCAAGCACT